GTAGACTTACCTCCACGTGATGCACCCTGGGCAACGTATACTCATATGTCAAAAAGTCTATTAACAGGCAGTTGACTTCCGACTCCAAACTACCATCATCCTACTGCATGTCAAATTCGACTACTTCAAAAGGTACTCACCTCACCTTTTTTCTAACTTTGAGTCTGTCTCTTTTACATCTTTGAAACACTCTTCTGTCCCCCCACCCCATCTTGACCTTTTTCACTTTGATGTTCCTTCCCCTCAGTGGAGTCCGAAGTCAACTAAAGGGCTAATGATAGCCATCAAAACGCCTGCCATTTGATATAAATATATTTCTTGAGAAGAATAGGCTTATCGTCGTTTCTTCATAAATTAATACCTTCTGCTCGAACTAGTTTTACGCTATATCGCAATTATTAGGAAAAAAGAGGTAAAATACAAGTTCTCCATGTTGAAGCGAAAACTCATTACACTTCAGCTCAAATTATTAACTATAATTCATATTATTTGAGGCAAACTCTATAAAGTCCAATAGATAGTTTAATAATAATGACAACAAAACACTAAGTAAAATGTCAAATTCGTCAAAGACAAGTATATTGAAACTTGTTTTATGATGTACTATAAAAACGCCACCTAGAATCCTCCAACTGCCCCCACCCTCCATGGACTGGTCGATTTACTTGCATATCGTTTCGTCTCGCTTTGCTTGAGTTGCTCGACTGACCAGGAGATTAAAATATTAAATAAAACCCCTCTCACGTTAGTAACTCTGGGTCGATGTATCCTAATTGGATTAATAAACCCTTATGGCCTCATTGGGGTTCTGTTCACTCTCCACACCTCACACATTACCTGGTACTCTTAATTCCTTTATGTGACCTCACAATTTTCTCCATGACCAACACCCCATTTGCTGGACTTTCTTAATAAAAAGAATGATGCCATTCAAGTGGTGTATATACATACATGCATACATAGGTTATCGCGTCAATTCCTATCCTGACCTTACTACCTCTCTTCTAAGACTGCTCAGTTCACATGAAATAGAAGGCCATATCTGTGGGAAAAAAATACAATACTCCTCCTCCCACCCCCATAATCTCCTCTAGTATGGATCTGAGGTTCAAGTCTTTAGGATAGAAATCTGTCAAATTGTTTCTGAACAACCCTACCTACAGGCTCTTAATAATAGCACCTCCTTGCATTGAATTGCATATTCATGCAATTCCAGAAAATATGCTGCCCAGATAGAGATGGCAAGTTTATTTGCTCTTAACACATCTAGTAAAAACCAATCTTCACTCTAACCTTTACGATCACCTTGATTCTTACGATCGGACCAGTTACGAAAGGAAATGTGTTTTTCACGGGCAGCAGTCTTCTTTAATGGGCGTTAAATGAAATTAAATCTTCGTTATCTACTACAAAAGTGTTGGGCGTGGGACCCAATAATTAATATTCATTGTACAAAGGTTAGAGCCTATGCAATCCATTCTCATATACCACCTAGATATATTCGGTAGGCTTTCTAACGGCGACGACATAGGTTATACTTCACTACAATTGGACCGTTTTGAGTCCAATGGCACACCTAACATTAGGCCTAATCACTTCACACGAGACGGAAAGGCAGGCAGACTTTGACAGGTGGGTTATAAGAGATTGTTTAAATCATGGAAGATAGGATGAAGGGAGCTGTGTATCAAGGAGGCAATTATGTCCAATTAAATGACTAAGTCAATTCCGTCTTCGTCCTCTCACTACTTCCTCTCCAATCTCCTGCTACTCCCCCCCCCCGCACCCACCCCACTCCCTTTCCGTAACCCCTTTGAGAGATAATTGCTACCGCTTTTGACATTAGCTACCGACTTCCACTTCTGTCTAAACTGCCAGTGGCTTTCGGCGGCTTGGTGACAGTGAAGCTAACTTGAGCAGTCTTCTAAGCACACAATGATAGAAAGGCGAGAGAGAGAGAGAGGAAAAATAACTTGATTTGACGTTTCAAGTCAAAAAATACCGCGATTTTTGCCCCCCCCCCCCCCCCCCCCCGAGGGAGAAACAATCACACCGACCCTACTCACACTGTCCTGTCTGAAACCACGATATGGAGAAGAAGAGGAGGAGGAGGAGGTTGGCTAAAATCGTCTGCATTTTGATGCAAACCTTTTGTGAGAAGTGACAAGCAATAAAGAGCGGGTTTTTTCTACATATGTTGATTAGTTAATTATTATTAGAAATTGAAAAATACTTGTGGAAATGTCATGTACATTTTCGTGAGAAAAGAAGTATACTCTTTAATCCATATTTTAATTAGCAAGTGGAAAGTTCAATGACAATCCAGTGGAAAAGACATTTTGAGAAATTTAAAGTTATCAAAAGTGGGACTTGATAATTGAAATAGCTGGAGCTTAAGAGGCTGTGAATTAGAAATGCGTGTATTTCATCAACAGCGACAATTTTCGAATTCTTTATGATCTTAAAATTTTTGTCTAAAATAAGTTACTGTTTAGCTTTAGTGCAAGATTAATTCTGAACCCAGTGAAGGGGCAAAGATTTCCACCATCATTTGAGGTAAGTTGGAAGAGAGTAAATTGAGAGACGTTCTCAAAACTGTTCCATGTATGATATTAGACATTCAGAGTGATGCCGTTGAAGACTTAATCTCTCGGCAAATATTCACATAGTGGATGGTGTATTTGCTACAGGTAAATGAAATCTTTCCTACTGAGAAACAATACGCATCAGTTAGTTTGTTTTCGATGAGAAAGAAGGCAAAGTTTGGAACTGAATTCCTTCAAATCAATAAATTCTCCATATTACTGATGAAATGTGCATAAGAGTGATATTCAATGTCAATGACTGAAGTGCAATTATTATAATAGTAATGTGTGCGATAGACTTACCTCCACGTGGTGCACCCTGGAAAACGTGTACTCATACGGCAAAAAATGTCTATTAATTGGTAGTTGACTTCTTACTTCAAACCACCATCACCCCACTGTATGTCATATTCGACACCTTCCGCAGTACCCATCTTACTTTTCTCTGCCTTTGTGTCTGTCTGTCTCTTTTACATCTTTGAATCACTCTTCTGTCTCCCTCCCCCCAAGACTTTTTTTTCACTTTGATGTTCCTTCCCCTCTCCACTTTTTCTCAATTTGATGTTCTTCTCCTCTGTGAAGCTTGAAGTCAGCTAAAGGGCTAATGATAAGTATTATAATGCCCGCCATTTGAACTAAATAAATAATAGTAATAGCTAAAAAATATACTCTTCGGGTGCATAATTGCAGAAGCTTATCATTTGCAAATGACCTGCCCCAATAAAACATGATAAATGAAAATAGAACTTTCTTTGAGGAACAAAAATTTAAAAGCTAGAATAGTGGAATGAAAAACCGCAGGTATAGTTATTCTGGGGAGGGTAGTAAGGAACATTCTTGTGAGAGGTATTCCAAAAATAAATTTCGGCGAGAATTGAAAAATCTATTGATCTACACTTTTGGAAGTACCTAAAAGGATAATATTGATTAACAATTAGAATGCCATTGTACTACTGTGATAAAGGATCTATCATAAGGACAGTTTTGAGCGCTATCTCCCTTCAGTGAATTGAGCCTGCTTATTTGAAGCACTCCTAAATATTGTTTCAATATTTAAGGCTTCTCATGACTCGTCATTAATTGATCCACAAAACTTCTATTGTGAGTCGCATCTAACTAAAGTCATTGCCAACCTCTCCAATGCTAAGATTCCGGGTCTCAAGGAAATAGTATTCAGGTATCTAAAGTGGAAAGGAAGAAAAGTAAATACTCAGTTGTCCACAATTCTCATTGATTATTAGCCATTTCTCCAACACATCTCGCGGAAATGGACTCTGTAAATGACAAAAAATGGAGGAAAAGGCCTTCTGCACCAATAATCGCTAGCCACTTGAGCGAAGATCAGGAGGGACTTTCGTAAGAGAATGTAAACTGAGGAAGCAATTTTAGGTGTCCGATCAATTGTTGAAGTGAGGAAAGTACCGATTTATAATTCAGCAATAGATGGATTTCCATGCCCAGTAGAAAGGTGTAGTCCTTGTTATGAAGAGGATATCACTCTGATTGGAGAAATTTGATGAAACGGTTTTTGGAAAGGGAGAAAACCAGACGTCTTTGAGCCTTCTAAGTAGAGTTTCCCAGATTTACTGATTTTCACATCTACTCATCTCATTCCACCTTCATAAAGCAAAGTTCTTATTCTTTTCTGTCAAAAAAGACTATTTCTCCAATTAACATTTACTTTATTTTTCTTTGCTGTTGGTAATGATATTCCGTCAATAATGATGTTTCACCTTTTCCTTCAGATATATAAAATGCGAACTCTTTGAAAGACCAGACATTGAATGTCCATCTTCGAACACCCGGCGGAAGTTTTCACAACTAAAGCAATTCCAGATTGTATAAATATTCTTACAGGCATTTCTTAAATGAAGTAGCATGTCTTTTCTAAAGGGAGATTTTGTTTCCACGTTAGGTCAATCAATAGGCACATGTTTAAATTTTCATTATTACTAATTATTATGAATTTTCCCATTTTCTCAATAATTATAGGACTTGTGTCATGCATTCGATTCATAAGAGAAAAGCGATTCAAATTTTTGTGTAAGAATTGGAAACTTGACTGTCAAGACAACAAAACAAGATAATTTTTCATAAAGAAGACAAAATAAACGTAGATTGATTATTTCAACCACTCCTCTTGGGGCATTGTTGACTCAATCTGAAGCCATGACGACGACGACGACATTGACAACATTGAGGGTTTGTGACTGTCAAATTCACGTCTCTTGCTCTCTCCCTCCATCTTGCATTCCCCAAATAAGGAGCACAGATGGAAGTTGAGACACCGTGTGTGTGTCGGAGGTCTGTCAAATGGTTGTCAAGGCACCGCGCCGTGGCGTAGGGTTGACATGGTGTTTGTGTAGGGGAGAGTGAGTTGAGCAGAGGGCGAGTAGGGAGCGGAAGAAATCAGTCCTGTCACGCGGTAACCACTTGTCAGCAGTGTGGCCGACATCGTTCGGTTGCTCGCTCACCGAGAGGCTTTTCCTGTGTCCTGTCATCCCAACAGGAAGGCTGTGGATTTTAATCTACAATCGGATTGGCTCTATGACAGGAGATATCAGAAAGTCACTTGTTAAAAAGGGCACCGGATTTTGAAAATTTATGGCAACGTTATATTTTTCAATTATTTTAATATCCATCGTTTGAAAAGGACACTCATGATTGTGCTCGAGATCGCAATACTTTAAATAGGATAACATATACCTTCACATTTTTTTAGAAAATAAACAGTGCTTTCTCACATGCTACAAGCCTAACCACTAATGGAATTGACAAAATACTTATGTTATTAATCCGTTTAGGGATCATTAAATATCAACAGACTATTAAAACTGTTCCTTCATAATCTCTGCAAACATCTATCCATGCTTCTCACTATTCATAGTTCCCTCTATCGGTCGTTCAATAATTCCCTTTCTTCCGACTTAAATTGTGGTCTCCTAGTTTTTGCGACCTTCATGAAATTCTCAAGTTTATTTGAGGACTATTTTCTCTCTCCCTCGGTCTCTCTCTCTCTCTAATGACTCTTTTAGATCACATTATTAAATCAAACTTTTCTTGATTTAACTGCTACTAGCTTTGAACCTTCAAGCATTTGAAATCACCACGAGTTACGTGAAAGTGAATAAGGCAGTGTGTTGGCTTGAAGTAATCAAATTAATAGTTGAAGGAGACATTAAGGAAGCATAAAATTGAGAGATTACAAGACATAGTCAGTATATACACATCATTTTCCAAAATTCATACATAAAATTTGTTTATATCAAATGGCGGGTGTTTTGATAGCTATAATTAGCCCTGTAGCTGACTTTGGGGCTTCACAGAGAAGAGAAGGAACATTAAAGTGACGAAAAGTCGAGATGGGAGACAGAATAATGATTCATAAAGGTAAAAGAGAGAGACAGACAGAAAGACACAAAAGCATAAAAAAGGTAAGATGAGTACTGTGAAGGGGTCGAATATGACAAATAGTCGGGCCATAGAAGTTTGAAGTCAGAAGTCAACTACCAATCAATAGACTTTTTTGCCGTATAATCTGTGGATGGGGCCGAATATGACAAATAGTCGTGCCATAGTAGTTTGAAGTCAACCAATCAATAGACTTTTTTGCCGTATGAGTATACGTTGCCCAGTAATAGACTTTTTTGCCGTATGAGTATACGTTGCCCAGAGGTTATCACGGAGGTAAGTCTATCGCACACCCCGTATTTGACCACGCGGAGGTAAGTCTATTGCGCACCCCTCATACATAACATAAAGGTCTAAACGGCAATATGTGGAAATTGCGCGAATTTTAATCTCAAAAGTGCTATCGATTAAAGCTCTTGAAAAGATAATTAAAAATGCATTTAATCAATAAGTTTGTGCTACTTTAAACTCCAATTGCTTATCGAAAAGTGGATGATACTTGATTAAGACCCACTCAGTACAAGACTCAAAGAAGGTTGCACAGCAAGAGAAGATGCGATATAGGCAAAAATTCAATTGAAGTGCCATTTTCCCGAAATTTGAGTTTTCTGACTTCACCAAAAAATTGTATATAGGCCATGTGCAGTTTTAAGTACCAAAACCTCCGGAAAGTAGATAATCACTTTTTTACTCCATTCACATACTTTCATCTCCTAAAAAAAGCCACTCCCATTTTTTCACCCCAGGAAGAACTACGTATCGTCGTGAGAGATTAATTGAAAGTGCATTCTTCAACCTCCTTCATTTGGTATTTCAAGTTATAACAGACGTTTTCTTTGATGTCTACGCGGGTGTTCTCTCCCTTTCTGTCATTATCTTCAACCCAGAACTGACACAAAAAGCCAGGCATCCAAAAACGATAATTCATTTTAATCTTTCTCGACCTCTTTCCCATTCTACCGGTGGCGCGCAGTGTTCATTCGTCTGGTTTCAATGAATAATGACGCTTTCAATGCTAAGAGATACTATAGAGCACGCGTGTGCGCGTGTGTGTGTGGGATGGGGGGGGGGGGGGGGGGGGGGGGGGGGGGGGGGGGGGG